ATTGAAGGGTCGTTCTTGACATAGTCAGGCAAGGAGTTCCAGATACTGATGACAGATGGCAAAAAAGATTTCTTATAGAGACTCGTATGATTAACTAGTGGACGAACATTATTTTCCGTGCGAGTATCATGGTTGTGGTAATTAGGGTTACGCTGAGGTAGAATATCTAGAAGATATTGAGGAGCCAGACCATGAACCATTTTGTGGAAAAGAATAAGCTTGTGCTGTTTACGTCTTTCCTCGAGGGGAAGCCAACCTGTTTCAGTATACAGTTAAATTCTACTTGTGAGTCTAGTGCCGCCAGTGACTATGCGTGCTGCTTCTAATTGAAGATTTTCTAATAATTCAGATTGAGCTTTAGTAAGGCAGTCCCATAAGATATCGCCATAGTCTAATATAGGTCGAATAAGAGTGTAGTACATAGTTTGGAGACTATACCTGTCCAAAGAGAATTTAAATTTACGTAAGATATTTATTTTAGGTGAAATCTTAGATATCAAATAACTGATGTGTTCATTCCAATGACCATTTCCAGAGAGAAAAATACCTAAATGCTTGTGTGTAGCAACTTCAGAGATGTTAGTATTGTTCATATTTAAGGGAGGATGAAACGGTTTAATGGTTTTTCTACTAATGAGCAGGGTTTCTGTTTTGGATGGGTTAAAATTTACTAACCATCTTTGCGACCAGTTATGAAACTTATTAAGGTCACTATTAAGAATATCTGCGCTGACTCTAGGAATATCAACGGTTACGTAAAGAGAGGTGTCATCAGCGAATAACTTTATTTTAGCTTGTATATCTTTAACAATGTCATTTATATATATCAAAAATAAAAGAGGTCCAAGAATTGAGCCCTGTGGAACACCAGCCTTAACATTTAACCAATTTGAATTTTTACCATTGATGACAACTCTCTGCTTTCGATCGGAAAGATAATTTTCAAACCAAACTAATAGCGAATTTCGAATCCCATAGCTGGATAATTTACAAAGAAGGCCTTTATGCCAAACTCGATCGAAAGCTTTGCTAATATCACAGAAGACCATACGTATTTCCTTACCATTGTCTAAGGCTAAATATATATCATGAATGATCGCAAGAAGTTGATTTGATGGTGAGTCACCGTGCCTAAACCCAGATTGATGGGGGGATAGGAGGGAGTGAGTGTGCAAGAAATTGTAGACATATTTGAAGACACATTTTTCCATTAATTTACCAACGATCGATAGCAGTGATATAGGTCTGTAATTCGTTAATATAGACTTGTTATCTTTTTTATGCACAGGGGTGACGTTAGCAAGCTTCCATTCAGATGGGAATAAACCAGATC